TGCAAACTTCATCTAACCTATTCTCCGCTACCCCTGTACAGGCTATACTATTCCTCCCACCTGACATTCCAGCGGCTAGGGCCTCCCTATCGCCCCTGCGATAGACGCAGCAGCTGTCAAATCTAACCAGCCCGTTTATGCGTGCCACGCACGGCCTACGCTTCATTACATGTCCCAGTCAACCGTAAAGGCGGCTTGGATCTGACCTGACCATGAATTGCGTTAGGGTAGCACTGAAAAAGAATCATTTCAGTCTGGCCCTGAGTCCTCTGGCCTCCACGTGAAGATCGTTAATTGGGAGCTTTTCAGAACAAGATTGTTAGCGTTTCGTGGTGGACACGAACGCTTCAGCTGTCTTGTGAGGAGAAATGCGCAGATTTGCAATGGGACTGGATGTGTAGCCGTCGAATGTCCGAGTCTATCGGCGATTGGGTGCAATAACGGACGCTGCGTAATGCCGACACCTGGCTACTAGGCAAAAGTTTATCCTCAAAACGACAAGATATCAATTTTTGTAAGTTTTTTCCTAGTTTAAAAAGCCTCTCAGGGGACTGTTTGAGACAAGACCAGACCGACTTCGGTTAAACAGCAGCACCATCTGGATCGCCGATACATTTCGTGCATTCTTTATGTCTCAACACCACAGTGCAGTTTTCATTAAAAGAACTGTGCATGCTAAGCATTGCGATATGCTTTGAATGACCTGTCTGCTCTTCTTCCTCAGTTACACCTACTGGCTCGTGTTAACTGACATCACCACATGTGAACTTATTACTTGAAACAAGCGAGTAGTCGCCTACAGTTATGTAAACGACTTCTTTGAAATGTTCGGCTGTGCCGATGCATTTCTTAACTACTGTGTGCCAATAGGGAGTTCAAAGGCGTTTGCCTATATTTCTTTTAATAAACTTAACTTGAATTCACCTCAAAACCGACCATACTGCCGACAGTGTAAAAGACCTCGAAGTCGTGTTTGGGAAACTCAATCGGACAAACTTCAATCCACCAGTGTCGATTTTAACAGGTAAACATTACTTACACAGAGGAGGAAGATTGGGAGTCAGTGCTGGGTTCGGCAAACCCTGCTTCAGCATCTGAGCACCCCATGAGCACTCGCCAGCTAGTGATGGCAGCAGGCGCCCTCAGCACCAGGAAGGTGATGATACATCTGCAAATGAGTAAGTCGATACTATTTGGTTAATTTCTTTAAAGTAAGCGTAAAGTATAAAGGCGGTTTTATAAATACCTCTCTGTAAAATACTTGGAAAAATTTACTATACGAGCTTTGAGAACTTTCAGAACATTTGTTTCGATGAGTAGGAGAAAACATACTGGGTCAAATTGTCAACAAGGTCCTGCATAAAAGCCTGGTCAGCATGCTCCTGGTAGAGAAAGTGCACATCTCCTTCCACTATTTCCTGCTCCTTTTGGGCTACAATTTCGAATCCGGCATGCTTTATGGCTTCTACAGTTTTGGGCAGCATTGTGTCCGTCTTGAGGCCGGCCAGCGTCTCTTCCGTCGGGAAGAAATGCGGAAGCCAGGCTAGGGTCTCTTGTGCACTGCAACTGGCGTAGATCCAGGGCAGGTCGCCGGTCTTCTCAGTTCCCGGTAGTGCCGAGTATCGTGCCCTAAGCGAATGCGGCTCGTTTTTTCTGGCTTGCGAAAAGGATTCCGGGCCAATCATCTCCTTCATTGCTTCAAAAGCATCCTGTAGGAGGAACACGGTTATAACCAGTTAGCTAGGCAAAGAGCCCAAATAAACCTCTTTGTAAAATGGATCCGACAAAGCAAAGAGAGGCCGAAATGACTAGTTCTGGCTTGTTAGCCGTCATCAGCCACTCACACCCAATCTCAAGGGTTGGAACCCTCGAGATTCAAACTCGGGACTTTTGGTCATTGAGCTTGACACAGACTCGTTGCTTTGTCGATTTAAATCGGAAATATGAAATATATGGGCTTTGCCAATCTGGTAGAGGAACAATTAAGTATCCCTTTGTAGATTAGTTGCAAAAATGGTCTATCCTCTCGTGGCTCACGTATTTCTAGCGTATAGGATTCTCAAATCTACGTTCAATCTTAATAGACTTGGAAAAGCAAGCTTCTCAAAAAATGCATACAGTCTGCATTTTTCTTATTAATGCAAATTCCATAAATAGTATGGCTGAAATACATCTTCGATAGCTTAGCTGGCATCGAATGCAAAAAGTACAGTGTACAGAAGAACTGAATTTAATTATACAGTGTTATCTGCTCCACGACTCTTAAAAAGTGGTATAACGTTCCATTCTAAACCATTTAAGTATCTCAACGAAAATCCTATCAGAAAATCAACGATTTAAATTGGCTTGATCTTATATTTGTGTTTTTAAATAACTTATTGGTAAAATTAGCCTCAATTTTCATTCAGTTATTGGCATGTAAAGCTGTAATGTAATAAATGAATACTTTGCAATCACTTTTGAAAATTTTAAATCTGCACATCAAAATGAAAAGCTTGCTAAGGTTTTCACAGTTGACACGTGTACTTTTATCCGTTTTAGAATGAAAGATCATTTGGTAGTATCACGTATCTATGCAAACTATAAAAGTAAGACTGATCACTTAATATTCTTGCAGTCGGTTGATGTTTTTTTGAACTTTAACATTTTAATTAAAGCAAGCACTTTTTTGCAGGAATTCTATGAGGAGACGAACGATTGTCCGGTTTCTCGAAAATCACCCTTTAGTACTGAGGCCATTTTTTTCGAAATCAACTTTTGGTTACTTGTAAAAAATGGAGAGCGCTCACGTCCTGAAAATGTCACATAAACTCACGTGTTTTGATGCCATCAAAACAAACGTCGCTCCTGAAGTCATGTTCTTCACTAGGTCTGGGCTGCTGAAATCCACTTTTATGACGTCGCAGAATTTTCGCGCAGTCTCCTCGGTGAAATTGAATTCACGTGCCAATTTGATGTCAAAGTTGGCTTCACTGAGAGTTGCCATTATTTCCATTTGAAATGCTTCAGCCGCAGGCGGGAAGATCACGATTAGGATGAGCTGTGATTTTAACTCTTCAGACTCTTCTAAATGACTGGATTGTGCTGCACCATCTTTTTCTTCGACCGATCCGCGACTTTTTTCTGGCTTTTCCTCCTCTTTCCGCCGCGTTATAACTTTTGCCGGTGTAAAATTTGGAAACAAAATTTGACGTGCCCTAGAAAAGTAGAAATATTTGACGATAATTTAACTATTCTTCCAACATGGGGAAGAGCAAAGAAAGTATACTCAAATAATGTTAATGTTCCCGATGCTGCATGGATCTCTCCGCGTGCCATGGTAAATACGATTCAAGATGACCAATCATTTAAGGTGTCCTCAAGTGTTTAGAGCATGAAATGCAGTTGACTCTTGCTCATTAAAAATTTAACGAAAATTCTTCAAAATACTTACGAATTGACCAATTTATGTAGTAGAATTTTAATTTGAGGTGGGAAAGGCATCGGCTCTGACAGTTTTGTGTACTCAAATTGTACAGAACACACTGCCGCTTTTATTAGTTCAAGCGCTTGCAAATTTAACAAGTTAAACGCCATGCAGACATAGGATTATCGACTAGTTTGGTTGAAGTAAATGGTCGGCTAAAGTTGTTTATCTTTTGGCACTAAAAAGCTAAATGAAAACCTAAGCAGTCTTTGGACATCAAACGACTTACTTGTCAGCTAATTCTTTGGACTCCCAAAACTTCACAACTGCCTTGCGGTCACCATTTCCATATTTGTCTCTGATACTAAAAGAAAAATAAGTACATTTTATAGTTAAAACAACTGATAGAAATCAGGCGTATGACTTATGTATCTCCGGTTTGCGGATGCAACATTTCATAAAACTTATCGTTAAAGTAAGGGTAAATTAAGATCTAATCTTCTCAGACATAAGTGCCTTCAGTTGATATTTATAATGAGTAGATTATATAAAAATTCTATTTCGTATTGCGATATCTTCCATAGGCTGGAATAATATTTGGATATAGGGCATGTGCAGAATAAATAATCACATAACGCGTATGAAATAAAGGGCTAATTTATGTTTAAAGCAAAAAAGTGTCGCGTTTCAAAAAAATACCTTACATGTTCAAGGAGATATCTGTACCCACCTTTCAAACGGCTTTACTTCCTCCTCATCTGCATTAAGTTCCTGGGCATCTAGTAAACTATCTTCCTCGTTTTTTGTTTCGTTGACTTTATGCAAGGCAAAAAATGGTGTGATTTCTTCGAATATTCCTTGTGAACCCTTTATGATAATGAGACAACGGGACGGCCCGCTGGAAAACAAATTCAGCCGGTCACCGAAATCTTCGTCTTCTTGTTCATCCATCAATAGTACAGAGAGTATCTCATCCGTAAGTACTTTTTCTTCATCAACTACAATTTCAAAGTCCTTCTCCTGGAGCTGAATGGCAGAATATTTTATGCTATTTTCGTACCATATCGGTGATTTCATTAGCGACGTCAGTACCAACAAAATCCGGACTGATAATAAGTGGGAATGTTTCCTGTTCAATTTCTTAATGCACAAATGTTCACCTTTCACTATTTTTATTTACCTATTTCAAGGGCTTTCCGCTTGGCCTCCGCTTCCTTTGCCTCCTGAATTTCTCTCGTGTATACGTCTTCAATTACAGTACGTGTACGAGTCCCGTCAGCAATTTCGTGTTCTTCTGCCAACAACTGATTGACTAAGTTTTCAATCTGTGGCGCGTTTGCACCTTTGACAACACCAACTAGGTCGGAGGCCTAAATTTTAATCAATATGAAAAGAT